TCTGTGCTGTATCTGATATCTCGTACCAAAGATCAATGTTGTGGAGTGCATGTTAGGCATCTGAGGGGCTTAAAACCCCAAATCGGACGAAACATATATGTGGGAGCTATAGCTATATCTTAACTGATTTTTACCAAATCTGAAGTACTAGTTTCTAGGATAAATTCAGTCGCATGTGCCAAAATTCAGGTCATTTGGACTGATATTAGCCATTTGGTGTGCAATTAACCCGAAATCGGACGAAGATATATATGGGAGCTTTATCTAAATTTTGACCAATTCTTACCAATTTCAAGATGGTTCGACCTTGGGCCAAACAAATATTGTTTGGAAAATTTCATCTGAATCGGATAATAAAAGCGATCTGCATATTGTTCACAAAAATACATGGACAGACGGATGGACTGACATGCATAAATCGACTCAGAAAGTTATTATATGAAGATCCTCAAAAGTAACTATGGGTCCATTTCGCTTCCTTCTCCATGTTACAAAACAAATGCACAAAGACATAATACCCTTACCACTATCTATATGGTGTAGGGTATAAATATCTGATCGATTTAAACTTTTGGCGCCGTAATTGTGTAGCCTTTTGGATAGGCGGATTTATAGTTTGAGATAGTCATTTAAGTTCCTTTCAAATAAAGATTTTTAGAATATTTTTATAAATCTAGCATGGCTTAATTTGGATTTTCATAAAACGAAGGACTAACAGAACATTTATGCCTTATAGTCGTAATTTAGGATCAGCAAGTTTATGGGCGTCTTATCTTTCTCTTTTTTGAATTTGGATTTCAGAAATTTTCTTTTTCCATTTCTAGCTTTTCTGACATAGTTATTTGTTATTTTTGCCTAAATAAAACAAAGCTAAGTGGAACACAAAGAAATCACCCGTGTGAGCAATAGCTTTGCATTTCCCTCTCTCTCTCTCTCTCTCCTACTTGCCGCAAGTAAACTTTCCCAATGTAAATTGTAACATTTCATTGGCAAATAATGTCATATTTGAAGGACCACATTTCTGGAAATATCCTTAAGAATTAATAATTTCTTGGTGACTTTCAGCATAATCTTCCTTCCTTTTTTGGTCTCTGTAAAGCCTCCATCTTTTTTGTTTCTTTCGCAAATAAAAGGAACTACTTCCTTCTACTACTTCCTCCCTCCCTTCCTTGCCTTGCCACTCCTTTGAATGGCCTTTTCACATTTCTTTATCTTGTATCTACGTCTTGAATGGCTTTTGGGGAATTTGCCAGTGAGAATTTCACTTTGACGAATGTTGCACGATTGTCATGTGCTACAAAGGATAAAATCCTTGGTGAAACAGCTCACACACACACATACACACACACATGCAGCTCATAATGTTATCTTGTCAGAACTCATTGCTAATCCTAAACATGATTTTTTTTTTTGCTTTGATGCTTTGATTTTGGGCAAAACAATGCCTGTTTGCCTGGTTCGAGACAGGCAGTTAGCTTCCCTAAAGGGGTGTGATCTCTGCTCGCCATGGATGGTGGATGGCAGGAAAAGATGAATGCCCACGGCCATGCATAAGCATCTAAGAAATTTCTAAGCACCCAGGAAGATTAGATTATTTTTAGGGGAGGGAGTTGCCGTGTTAGAGAGACCTCGCAGGAACACTTGGAGACACCGGAATACCCTGAAGCCAGGGAAACTAGTTTGTGTTTCTCCCCTTCCTTCCTTCCTTCTTTGCTTTAATTACAAATTTTCCGATTTTTTTGAGTTCGATGTTGTGTTGTTTGGCAAACATGAATGCGACACATGCTGCATGCACCGGCAGCCTCACTTGGTGTCAGTGTGTGTGTGTGTGTGTGCTGCCACATCGTTAGCAACTAATTTGTGCCAGGATCACATGCTCTCACACACTCACACACACCAGCAAACAAAAGGACTTTATGAATATTCAGTGGCTTCGTGCGGCTCCCAAACGACATAATGTATCAATTGCTTCACGTGCTTCCTGAGATTTCCGTGAAATTTTCCATGGTGTGTGCATGTGCGTGTCTGTGTGTGAGTGTGGTCGGGGTTCCTTAGAATTGCCAAAAAACTAAATGGAAACAATGAGACCACCAAAACTCAATGACGAACAAATAACAGCCCTTCTCGCATCTTGTCCTTTTCGTGTTTGGTTTTTGTTCCTCCTCAAAGGCTTGTTAGCTTGATGGGGAGGCAGGCGGGCTGCAGGGAAATATGGGGGGTTTCCACAGCGTCGAAAACCTTTAACCTTTCCATTAGATTTTTATCTCCGTTCCTTCGGCGAGGCTGTGCTGTGCTGTGTGACTCGTTAGGGTTTACCAAAATGAGATTCAATATCTGGCGATTTGCTTTCCGCAACAGCTTATCGCAGATATGCATCGTATTTTTCCAAAAGGATGTGTTAGCTACCTGAGAAGTGGAGAACAAGCAGAAGCAGAAAAGGAAGATGGCTAGGTAGGAGCCATGTGCGTTCGTGTGTGTGTCATTTGGATCACATCGATTATGTAACATAAATTAGTTGCATTTGTTGTAGATTTCTCTTTGATTGACATTCCAATTGTCAGAGTTTGTTTTGTTATTGTTGCCGTTGCTTAATTTCGGTATTACAATTTGGTTGACAGTACGAAAGGCTGAGTGATCCTCAAAAGAATAGACGGCTGGACGGATGGATGGATGGATGCATGTTTGGACTTGTATCATTTTGACATTGTTTATGGGTTTTTGATGAGGTGCTAATAGGCATAATTTGAGGGTTAACACAACTGATTTAAAAATGCATTTGCACTGCAGCCACTTCTCAATTTGTGCAGCCCTGTTTGCAGGTCCACCATTCCAGCCGTGTCGTCTGTCAGTTTAGTCAATTGTGACAGATTGTTTGTCATTTTTTTCGGGGGGAAATTTAGAGTTTAAAGGAAGAACATTTTAAGGCGACTCTGGAGGTAGGGGGTGTAGATTTTGATTCCCATTTTCCATCTTTCCAACAGATAACCGCGCAAATAGTTGTTTAATGATCGTAAATATTGTACAAAGTTGTTGCTTGATATTAAGGACTTTTAAGGTATTTGAATTTCAATGGCATCCTTTATTTTTCTGATGCAATTTTCAGTAATTTTTTGAAAAGACAATTCGAAGGATGATGGGGATTTTCAAGGTTAATGAATCGATTCAGGAGAAATTTTTACGGATAAGGTTAATATTTTCAAAGAACCATGGGTTTTTTTCAATTGATTCAAGATACATTTTTAGGGATTAGGACCATATTTTCAAAGAACCATCAGTTCCTGCGGGATCTTTAGGATTCTTAAAGAAATATTTAAATGCTTTAATGGATTTTGTAAATATAGTATTTTTTCCGATTAACCCATAGCTTCTTTTTAGAATTTTTAGGGCATATTTTCCAAAGGATTGAGCGAACAATACTCGTAAATTTTCACGATATTTAAATATTATAAATACATTAGGCAACTAGACCGAAAATGTTGAAAAATATTTTGTCGAGGATTGCCATAACATTTAACCATTCCTATTAAGTCCTTAAACTAACCTCAAAAAATGTATTAACTCTGGAATGTTCTGTGAAATTTCTCAAAAACTTCTTTTAGAGGTTGTGGGTGATTTGGAGATATATTTGCCCCCTAAGTACCTCTCCGCACAGGAAATTAGCAAACATCATTTATTGCACTCCGCAGGATGCAGTGCCAGCAAAATTTGGATTCTTGAGAAACACAGTCTAACTCTCCATGCCATGGCAGCTTCTTTGGGTGTTTTTTTTTTTGCCACCGAGAAGGGGTGAATCTTTAATGAGCCTCAAAATGAAACAAAGGAATGAAAACAAGGACAACAACACGAAAAAGAAACAAATTTTAACAACGTTTTCATATTCTAAGCAAACAATGACAACAGCAACAACAACAAAGATGAAGCAAAAAAACAAAAATTGCTGTTTACAACACTCGAAATTTGTTGCTATTGTTGTTGTTATGCCTTTATCTCCAATTCCTTGACTAGCACACAAAAAAGGACATGGTTTTTTATGATGCTGCTACTGCTGCTGTTCCTGACGAATTTGACGGTCAAAGCAAAAAATGAAATGATTAGGACGTGCGAAAGTGATTTCATTTGCATGTGAATACAACGACAACAACAACAACAAGGATGCAGGCTGAAATGTTGCTTCTTCCTACTAATGGAGTTCGCGGTTGGCTGTTCGAGGGGGGGCTCTTTGAGACCACCGAAATCTGGAACAAGCAACAACTGAAAAGTATATCCGCTGTGTGTGGACCTTGCAGAATACTTTTTTTTTGTTGGCGAAAAATTTCATGACAACCACCACACCACCGCCTGCCTGCCAGCCTAAGAGCTTGTCGAAGAGACACTTTACGTTCCTCAATTCCCCGAAAAGGCGTAAGGCGTGATAAGTACCAGCTGAATGGTTGATGGCTTTAATTGACCCCATTAAAGCATAAAACCCAAATTTCGAAATTCTCTCTCCACAAAAAAAAAATATTGAGTAATAACTTAAAAGAAAGTCGCTTCAATGAACTTAAGTTTAGAACGGAAATAAAGGAGGATAGACTAAAAGGAAGTGATACAATAACAACTAAAAGATAGCCAGAACGGACAACTAAAAGCACTACAAAAGCTACTAGATTCTCAGCTCAAAGCACATCAGCCGATCAACTAGGACCACTAGATGGGTGTATGGCACCAAGTCCGTCTGGTTTTCGGAAACATTTTAACTAGAATTTTAGAAAAGGGAAATGTCAATTCAAGTACCTTGAGGTGCCAGCACCTTCCATTTGCTGTCGATCTAACGGCGGATCGAAAATTTGCTCGCGATCCTCTTTCGACAATTCCAAGTCGGCAAACTGATCCAATTCGGAAGTCATTTTTCTGTTTGGTTTTTGTTTCTGTGTTTTTTCTTTGTTCTCGAGAGGATTCTTTCAATTTGAGGATGGTGGGGGCTGGCTTTAATCCTTGCTTTTTGGAATGCTTTTCAAACAAAAAACGCCGTTGCTTTTAATTTTGTTCTTGGGCCAATTTCAAGAAATTTCAATTTTGAATTCTTTGTCGAACGACTGGCTTTAAATTTTCAGATTTCTTTTGTTTTTTTTTTTTTTAATTTTGTTTATATGCCAACCTACAACGAAAAGAAAATAACAAAAATGAGAAAATAATAAATTAAATGGAGAAAACATAATAAACAATACAAAAAAATTACAAACAATACAAAATAAAAATAAAGTGTAAAATAAAAAAAAATAATAACAATTGAAAACGTATATATATATATTTTTGAATACCTAGATTCCAAGGGAAAATTCGTGTATCGTATGGAAAGCAATTCTTAAGTGCGATTCCCTAACCAGTTAACGACAGTGATTGACGAGATTGAAGTAGTCGCTAAGACCAATCTATAGGTAACAATATCCCCACTACTTGAAGAGATGCCATCATTGAATATGGAAGGACAATATATTGAAACCATTTCCCAGCTACTTTGATGGGCTATCAGAATGGCATATGTTTTGAGGTCGTTAGATTAAGACATAGACGTGCAAAACTAACCAAAAATGTACTCTAGCGGCACTGGTTCTAGGCGTATTCTCTTTTCTACCTTTTTATCGGGGATTTTGATGGTGAAGTCTCAGTTAATCTCGATTTAGTTCTGCACGTCATTGCATTAAAACAGAGGAGAGCGAGAGTACAGTAAAGAGAAAGTGTAATTTCCTCCGCTCTTTCACTTTCTTATCCCTGAACTCAGTTTAAATTTTCAAAATCTTTCTACTCTAGTTCTCAATAGCTCTCAAGAGAGCTGAATGAAGTTCAAAAACTTCAGAAGAAGAGTTAAATTGCTAGGAATGCCTTTTTTCAGAAGTTTAGTTTCTCTTAAGCAAAATTGTTTAAGTAGCGGCTCTCTTTCATAGGAAAGAGTGATATTCCAAACTTATAAAGACCTCTTCATCAACAAGACAACTGTTAAAACCGCATGCCACTATCTCCATCTCTCTCTCTTAAATAATATTTTGAACAAATTGGTTTTGATGCAATTTTCTCGGAGTGATGGGGATATGTACGCTTTCATGAATAAATCCAAGAATAGTACAAAAACGCAACATTTTAGTACAAGCAGTACACTTGTGAGGTAGGTAAGCTGAAATTGACCTTCGGGAACGAAAACCACTTTATTCGATTATTTTATGATCTCTGAATCGATTGAGGAAATTATCGTATTCTTTATAAAATAATTCTGTTGTTCTCTTGTGACCAGGATATCAGCGAGCGTTGAATGATATTCGTTCGCTTTCTACCAATTGATATTACTGTTAAAACATTAATAAATTAGTTTAAAACCTATAAATATCTAACAACATAAAAAGATCTACAAAGAGAACTTCATTCTAATTTCTTTAAGCATTTCTCTTTCATAATTTTGCCAATATCTAGCCTTATATCTCGAGAACTTTCACTCTCTCTATCTCACATTAACATTTCTCTCAAATGACTGGTTTTTTTCTTTTGGGGTTAAACAACGCCAAGTGTTTTCTGTTAACCGGCAATCAGTGTGGGACACCCTTCGGATAAATTGAATGACCTACCTAGATCTGTCACCAATTACAAATCCAAACTGACATGACGCCTTGGTTTCTCTTTCATTCAATGAATGAAGTTCACAACTTCCGCAATCCAGCTCTCTCTCTATCTCTCCCTCTACACATTCCCAATGAGACTTTGAACTTATCTCCTTGGGCCTCCCCACTCTCAGTCCTCCCCCCCAACCCCCTTACATGAGGTGTAAACACAAACGTGGAGCATAGTAATGGAAAGCGACAACAACAAGAATAACACACATTTTGAGAGAATAGCAAAAAAACGTCTTTGGAATAGAAAGACGAAACAAAAGAGGAAGGCAAAGACGAAAGATAAAGAATACTCTTTGAAAAAAATGTGATATGTTGGCATTTGAAAAGACATACGAAAATGTGTGTGAAAACAGCACTGAAAACAAACACACACACAAACATACACACACTCGCAAACACACAGACTCACGCTTAGCTAAACCAAAGTAAAGAATAAGGTGTATAGACAGACGATAGAATAATGAATACCTAAACAATAGAAAACACAAAAAATAATGTTGAAGCAGGAGAGGACGGACGAACGAGGAGGAGAGGGAGGAGGTGGCTATGGAGAGGAAGAAGAGGCCAAAAACAAGCAAGCGAATGAAGTCATTAAGAGCAGGAAAAGTAACGACGGACTGACGACCGACCCACTAAACATCTCACTGCCGGACTGGCCCGGTCTGGCCGGCCAGCCCAGCCAGCTACTTGTAAACGCGCTGTGGAAAAAAAGAGTACCTTGCACCGAACCTAGCTCTCAATGTTTTTTTTTACTTTTTCTTTCGGAGAATATTTGAGCGAGTGACTGACGGACTGACAACAATCTATATGGCAATCATAATCAATGACAACAACAGCAGCAACAACAATATAAAAACAACCAACAGCCGGAGCCAGCGCAACACATTGTAGCAGTAACGACGAATCACAGAAAATTCGTCGTGAGAGCCATTACTAGGTTCTTCTTCTAGTCGAGATGTGCTTTGGCAATGTGGGACACAAAAAAAAAAAACACGAAACCCATACAGTGATGGTCAAAAGTGTTTGACAAATGAAATGAAAACGAGAGAGTAGTGAAAAACGAGTAGTGAATCGAACAATTCGCAAGAGATGTCCCACTCGAGTGTGGGCAGAGAGGTCCAACACCTTGGGTAAGTGGAAGGTCCAAAAATGTTCTCGCAGTGCCAAAATAGGTACAACGAAACGATCTGAAGGGGAGCGCAAATAAAACGCTTTTTTGACTGGCTCAAGTCAACGGCTGTCTTCTTCGGAAAATAACAAAGGTGCGGTGGGCCAAAATCGAACTATGTCAACCTAAAGAAGGAAAAAGCCAGTCATAAGCGTTGTATGCATTCTCACCTTTTGTTCAATTTCGGCCAATTACTTATATTTGTTAACCCTATGCTCCTTTGTTCTTTTATGAAGAAGCCAGCCGATCCCTTGCTCCAGCCAAAAAGCTTAATTTTTCATAGAAATGGAATGTGAAAATGTAGTACCACTGAACAAAGTTTTTTGATCTCTCGAAATGTCGACTTTCAAATTTTTACTACAGACAAAAGTCGACTTTTAGACTTTTCAGGAAAGTCGGGTGGCGGCCTCGTTAATGTGGTAAATATATGCTCCTAACAGATCCCAGAAGAATCTATTATTTTTGCAATATTCCCCGATATCATAAAGGGAATATCGATTATCCTAGTAAAAACTTTAACATTTTGCAGTTCTGGAACAGACAAATCTGTTCCAGAATCTACCAGCATATAGGTACGTTACTACGATAACCGATTTTTTACTTTATGATCTCAAAAAAAAATTAGCAAAACTAGAAGTTTCCTGCGGGATCTGGAACTGAGCATATGTTATATAGAATTGTTTTATATGCTTTGTTCCAGAACCTACAAGAATCTACTAGTTTTGTAATTTTTTTTCGATATCATGTAGGGAAAACCAGATATCATAGAAAAGACGTTTACATTCTTGCAGTCCTACAACAGTCCTAATATAACAAATGTTTTCTAATCTAACTAATGGTATGTTCCAGAACTGCAAGAGTATTAAAGTTTTTACTATGATAACCGATTTTCCCTTTATGATATCGAAGAAAATTGCCAAAATAATATATTCTTACAGGTACTGGAACAGAAAATAATAGTACCTATACAATCTGCCATATTTCATTAACTCAAAGGATTTAAACGCCCAATTTCATTGCATATACATTCAAAAAATCCTTGTAATGGAGATTAACCCAAAAAAAGTTCCTATGTAAACCTGATATAAGTAACAAATATTTGGAATACGAATTAAAAATATTGAAGATTTCCTGATAACTTAGTGAAACCGAGATATATACATCTTTCTGTTAAATTAAATGAAAAAAGCTCCATAGATCTTCTCCAAATAGTGTACCCTCTGCGGTTTTACGTCAGATAGGTTCTCTACAGGGCGAAACTGCAGAACTAAAGGTGTGGGTACATAAGCAGCTTGGCATCATGGCTAGACATATTAATGTCAAATTATGAGTGGAAACGATGTCAGGATTCGAGTGCAGCAACCTTTATGTTATATCACAAAATGTGTCATGCGAAGACTACAAGCTGCTTTTGTATTCACACCTTAATGTGGACTTTTTAAACGCCATGGCACTCATGTGACGTTGGAGAGAATCCGATATTGGTAATTTTTAGACATTTTTGTTACAATTTATACGGAAAAGTCTACAATTTTTCCATTTTTGTTCCCTGCAATGGTTTCATTACCCATTTCTGAAATAAAATGTGTATGACAATAAAAGTATACCTGATAATATTACTTTTTCGAGGGAATTGACGCCGATATTCGTTTAGGTACCTTTTTGGGTAAGTTATTCCTTTGACATAGCCGTTAGAAATACTGCTTGGATCCATAGTACACTATTTTAACCAAAATAGAAAAGGTTCAAGGTACTGATAGTAGAACCGAATTACCTATATGTTTCCAAGCTCAGAATAAGTAACTTTTTTGAATACAAACAGAGTCATTAGTTGATCGGAATACGATAGCATTTATTAACTGAATAGGTACTTTAAATATAGGGGATATTGCATAGAAAGTGTGAAGGGGAAAGGAGATTGCGACCACCAAATCCCATTACGGCGACGAGATTTACTATCCCCTGTCTGACCCCTCTTGTCACCGGTCATTGACAACCCTTGGTTTTGGGCTGCAGTATACTCCTGATTTACATTAGACAAGTGCGACTTTGCGGGTGAGAGAGGTAAGAAAAATAGATTTACCCCTCTTCCCACACAACCTTTAGCACCTAAATTGACTGACAATTGCGGCAATCAAAATTACCCAGTGTAAACTTTGAAATGGCAATTTAGAAGTTCTCCCTGGAGGACTTTAAAACAGCATCGTGCATCAAGCTCTTTTACAATGTTGCATACTTTTGTCGCTGGCTGTAATCGAGCACGACAACAACCACAACAACAACGAGTAAATAGAGTACACAAATAACAAAAAAAAAATATGTGTAAAAAAAGAAAACAACAGCAACAAATAGAAGAGAAACAAAACAAAGGAACAACAATAACAATTTATATATTAGACAACAACAACAAATAGTAAAAAAGAAGTACAAAAACAAAGAATACATACATTTGTGTGTTCAAATAGCAACACAACACCAACTGCGGGAGAGAACGAAAGATACCAACGAATTTGTAGGTTCGTGTGTCTGTGTGTGTGTTAGTTTTTTTTATAAAAAAAATTATGTTTTTTTCTTATTTAACTCTGTGTTGGTAGTAGGTAGAGGTACCTCTATTTATTATATTTTAGTTAATTCTTTTTTGTTATGTTTCTTTAATTAATTCTTAAAATTGTATTTTTGTTGTTGGTTGGTCGGTACGAGTATTTGGAATCCGAAACAAGACAGACACTGCGACACTAAAGTGAAAATTTAGTTTTATTTTGGGTCAAATTTTGTAATTTTTTTGGTGATAGTTTTAATTTTTTTTGTTATGTTAAGTTTTGTTAATAATTCCACATAATGTTGGTACGAACTGTTCTTTTTTGGCTGCGTTCGATTAGAAAGGAGCGGATTTTTCGTTTTTTTTCAAAATACTTGGCTGAAGTGTTTCGTTTTGTGAGAAGTAATGATGTCAACTTTTTTGGTTGCTCAACATTTTTTTTAAAAAACTTAAAAAATTATTTGAATTTTTTCAAAGATATTTTCGGACGTATCTTTACACTTGACAACTTGGCAATTTTTCACAGAATTGGAAATTAATTTTGTTGTGTTTTTTGTTGTTGTTTTGTTTAGATGACACAATAGTTGCAGAATTTTTTTAAACAAAAATAAATAATTAAATTTTCCCGTTGTTTTCTTTTTTTAACAAATTTTTGGCGGCTTTTCTTGGGTTGCGGCGCGATTCGAGTGTTGTCACGTCGAGCTGAGAATGATAATGACGACGATGATGATGTTGCTGATGATGAGAAGACGAAAACAGAATGATTTCCAACACCGAACAGGCTGTGGCGCTGAATGGAAGTAGGTTGAATTGGTTTTGGTTCGGATGGATAGCCGTTAGCCGTTTGCACACTCAGCAGATGATGATGAATGAACACAACAGAAAAGGTGTTAAACAGAGAACAGAAAAACAAAAACGAAACGAAACAAATTCTTTGGTTGCTCACGGTTAGGAACGTATTTGAACACTGAGGTAGGAGAGTTACCAAAAGTTTGAAGGCAGCAGAACGAGCACCACCAGCCAGCAAACGAAATGTGAACCCAACACAGTCACACACTCCACACACACGGATACACGGTGCGCACACACACACACACACACCCAAGCAACCGAAACTAAACCAACACAAACGAACCTCAATTTGGCTGTTGATGCCGGCAAGCAACATTAGTGAGGCGACGAACGCATTTACCTCACAGATACACGGATAGATGGAGATGGCAACAACCAGCCAGTCAGTCAGCCAGCAGAGAAGAAATTACACTCGGCAGCAGTGTTGGCAATGTTGACACAAGGTAAGAACATGGATATATGGGCCATTTACAACAAAAACAACAGCAACAACAAAAAAGCAACACTGTTCACACAAAAGCTTCGTCGTCGCCGTTGTATGTTTGGCATGTCTGTGTGTTTGAGGAAACTATCCAACCATCCAACAAATTGCCAAAAATCGCTCCAAATAGCAACAAACATATGGCAGCGGACACCAAAACAAACACCATGGCAGGCAAACCAAACATGCGGTGTTCGCTCCAAAGCTTCCAACTCTCTCTCTCGCTGGCACACCTCTCCCTCTCTCTCGAGCCTTCGAGTAGTGTAAACTTTTGATACAACAATAAAAAAGAATTCCATCAAACATTTGTTTTTTGTGTTGGATGTGAAATGTTGCACTGCAAATGTGTGAGTATGGATCACACGCAGGCACACACACACCACCACCACCACCGAAAGATATTGCCAAAATTTTATGTTTTTCCTCCTCTACACTGGCAACACTAACGACATCTACACTGGGGCTAAGCCCCTCTTTCCACCTACCACCTATCGGCATGGCTTCATTGTCGTTTATCACTCATTCGCTCTTTCTCTCTGGCCCACTGTCACTGTGTATGACCCAGCATTTGTCTGTGTTTCATGTGAAAGTGAGTGAGAGTGAAGAGCTAGAGAGAGAGAGCGCGTGTGTCCGTTCTCGCCGGCTGTGAGTGTGTGGCGGCCTTTTCTTGTAGTTCTGTGACTTTGGATTGATTACTCATTCCTAATTAAATTTATATGTATAATTAATTGTTTGTTATGGACACTCTTTTAGTTTTTTTTTGGGGAGGTCTATGATCTATAAATTGCCATGAAAAAGCCAAATACTTGCCTCCCCACCTTCTTCCATAAAAATGGATTTATTTTGTTTAGGTGTCTCTTAGGAAAAAAATAAGAAAGAATTTATAAATTAATAAAATATTTCAATATTGACAACTTTCTCTTGAAAATTTCTTTTCAGAATTAGAAAACATTGTGGATAGGTAGTAAAGAAATCAATTCTATAAAATTCAAAGAAAAACATTTTATTTTAATGAAGATCCACAGTTCTCACAATTTGCAAATGGGATTTTTTCTTTTATTCTTCATAAAAATTATATATTTTCTATAAAAAAAATAATTAAAAAAAAAAATTGGAAATTAAAACAAAAACTAGCAAATATTGATGTATCCCGTAAGACATTTTTTTTTTTGAAATTTGAAAACTTATCAAGCTATATTTAAATAAGTTTAATAGGTTCTGTTCACGATGTGAATAATTGATAAAATATTTTATAATATAAAAATATATTATAATTACGGTTAGTTTTTGTAATCCCATACGCTTTGTTTAAAGATAGACTTGGAAGTTCTCATTCCTGATTTTTGTTTTTAAGGAAGTTAAATTACGAAAATTTCAGAACTAATTAATTGTTTCCTATTTTATAATGTTTTAAGGCCATAATGGGGCATATAAACAATACATTAGGCCAAAATATTCAGCTACTGATTACTTTGTGACCTCAATATTTAATATTTAATCATCTCATTCCTTTGTGAAGGCAATATTAAATCACAATTGATTTAATTTTTACATAATTTAATATATTTTTTATTTTTGTGTATTATTCAGATAGCACAAGTTCATATATTCAGTCAAGGTATTTTAAGGCCAGCCCTGAACTACTGAGTTTCAATAAGGCCGGGGCTCGCTTTACTATGTTAAGGGGGGATTCTGAGTTTTAGAGATTCTGCGGCTCATTATATTTTTAATAAGGTTCACTCTTTAAGGTTGATTTTCACATACCCACCTAGGAATAACAATTATCCGGTATCGCCTGTATCTGCACATGTAGTGTGATGAGTTACACTCAAAGATCCTTGAGCTCAAAACCAAAACGAATCATGCGAATTCAATAGAATTGGAAACAAAGCTCACACAACTACATCAGCGGAACACATACCAATACAGCGGATGAAGGTTAACATTGACGTTGCCAAAATTTCTGTTGCAGAGCTGCCAGTGTAAGAAACGACAAAAACGACAGCACTTCATTTGCGTTGCATGTTGGGTATGCAGTCAGCGCCAACAAGTGCAGAAGGAACCCTCGCTCTCTCTCTCTCTCTCTCACTCTCTGACTCTCTTTTAAGGAAAGGAATTCACAACCATTAACTACAAAAAAAAAATTGAAAGTGTCAAAGGGTGGTGGGGAGTGAGAAAGCGAGAGGGTGTAACAAGCAGCGAAGGAGTATTCAAAATAAATCCAAAAAGAAAGCTATGAGTCAAGAATTGGTCTTGCTTTCTGCAAATCGAAATGTTAATCGATACACTTGTGTAAAGTGTTTCCGAGCATGATGGATGTTCGAAGTTGTGTTCCTGTGTATCGTAGTATGTATGTGCTTGCATCCCATTCTAAGACCTATTTCAATACAACAAAAACAAAAAAGAACCAACAAAATGAGGAGAAGAAACGAACACAACACAACAGCGTTTGAATAAACGCACAAAAAGGAAGTAGCTTTTGCAAAAGGACGTGCCCAAAACAATAGAAGACTACCAACCAACCAGCCAGCCAGCAATGGACAAGAGAATACCTAACAGGCAACCAAGCAAGCAGTTTAGAGCAAATAAATGCCAATACAAAACCCAAAAAACCGTTTAGCTTGAGGGCTTTCTAAAACCAAAAAAAAAAAATGAAAAAAAAAACTAAGGACAAAGCCGAGAGAATAACCAGGAGCCAACAACAGCGGCAGAAACCAGAGATAGCTGACAAGGCATTTGAATAAAACACATCATCTCCATCGCCAACAGTGCCAACGGTAGCAGCATCGACAAGAATTTTGGTTTATTTTATGGTGGCTCTCTGTCTTCTTTTTTCCCGGGCATTCTTTTTTCCTTTCTTGGGTTTCGTGTTTTTTGTTGCTTCTTCTTTTTTTTTGCGGAATCTTAAGCAAATATTTAGCTGTATCCTTCATACACATGCAAAAATCCTTGCTCTTGGCCTTGATTTTTAGGATACATCAGCGGCGGCAGCGGCAGAACAACGTCACAACATTCACACACACACACACACGCACGCTCAAATGGCAAAATATTCCCGAAAAAGGAAATAAGGACACAATCTGAAGTATGTGCTTGAGAGCATGTTTAATTATTTCTTCTTGTTCTGTTTTGTTTAGTTTTAAGCTGTTGTTGTTGTTGTTGTTCGGGAATTTCTAGAGACCACAAAGCGTAGATTGTAATATGGGGGCGTTCGATGTTCAATTGAGGCATTCTTTGTTTTTGGTTTTGAAAGATGTACCTATAAGATATAAGATACATTGATCCATAGACCAATTTTCGGGTGGGATCAGAAATGCAGGGTGGATAATTTTAAAAGCCTATTTCAAATTAAACACCTTGTCCGAAAATGTCAAAGCCAATGAGACACTACGAAGATGTGCTGCCATTAAACTGGCAAAGTCTAGGAAACTGCCAGAAGTATCCACCGAGTAGAGCCAGGCAAGAACGCATCAAAGAAAAATATTACGGACCTATCTCATTTTTATTCTTCACCAGTACCAGAGATTGCTATACAATTCCCGATCATCAAGAATGATTCGTTCGGCAACATAGTATCAGAACAGCGCAGCCTGCCACGGATTCAATCAGGCCAGAAACAATACTGAAATTTTTAGAGAAACCTCAATTACATGTGTGGACGTGGAATTTAGGAATAAGAAGCCCAAGTCTAGTAGCTGGAAACAGATCATTACCCATTGTGGGTGGATGTCTTTAGAATTGTTGAATTTCTTCCGGGACCTTCAAACTCTCCTCGAGGCATTCAGATAGTTACTTATGGGTCGCTCTCTATCATTGACGATATTTCCATAAAAATGTCTTATTTTGCAGTGCAGTTCGATTAGCAATAATTTCTTATTTGATCCAAGGTCCTAGCGGAACATTAGACAGCGTGTTGAAGACATTCGCGCAAGCCACAGAAATCAGCTATTAATTTATGAGTGAGATGTTGTTTGTAAATGTCGAACTACTGCAATGTAGACTCCAGTGGACCTATAGTGCGATTCTCTAACTCATTTTTCGAGTTGCCGACAAAATTCGGTAACTTTGAAAACCAAACTTTTGATATAAAAAATAAGTTAAGGTTGACAACATTGGTATCTATGGGTAGGTTTCATATTTCGTTAATTACCGAAATTATAAGCATTTTAATTTTACCGACTTTTGTCGGTAACTCAAAAAATGAGTTAGAGAATCCCACTACTGAAAAAATAAAGGTTATTTGCACTTTCGTTCCATCCTATGGAGGATCTCAATAGGGCATGCAAGGGAGATCTTTGTGATCTAGAAAGAGAGAGGAGTCTGGGGAGAAGAAGGACGAGGTCTGGTTTTGAGCCAAGAGTATTTATGGTAGTTTTGACCGAATATTAATGAAAGTGTGGAAAATATTCGGACAACGGCTTATCTGTGAACTATCATTCTGTGGGCTTAGGAAAGGTTGTCATTTATTTTTCATAGTTTCGGTTTCTCAAAAACTTCCAGAATATTTGGCGATTTTATGCACAACTTTTGTTAGTTTTTGCAGAATTTCGAAAGTTTTACCATGAAAGCTTTTTCAGCTTGAAAAGTTGTAGGATATGAGTCTCAACTAGGGTTCATCTCCAGTGTAGACAATATTGCCTGAATTTATTTTTTGTGTAACTTTTTAATACACATTCTCAGATATATAACTGAAATATCTGAACCTCCCCCGGAGAGGATAGATTTTCTAGACACCTTTTGACAAATCTCCATATTAATTTTATGGTCTACATTAAGACTTGAAATTATGCTAATATTCTTAAAAAATATCAAATATATAACTTACAAATCAGGAGTATCCAGACATCGTTTCGTGTATATTTACCTGAAAAAGAAATGGTAAATTTCGATTATTAAATCCAAATTAAACGGTATTAAATATTACAAAACTATTTAAAAATGTTCTACAATTTCCCT